TGTAGACCCCGTCATCGTAGACATTCATGATTCTGAATTGCCTGTTGTCGCCATCTACTACCTGGAACCATCGTGATCAGCGGACGCAACGTCGCACGCGACGCCTACCAGCGCCGTGAATTACGATTCTCTTGCCACATCCCCCAATCGACAGACTGATGCAAAACACGCATCGACCGTCGCGTGCGACGGAGCGGCAAAGAACGATTGTCTTGAACGTCTCCAGCGCGCGACAGCGGATGATCCTATTGTCACACACGCTGTCCACGGTCCAGCCGCCTGTATCTGACCGACTAGACCCATACGCCCCCATAATCGCTCTCTCAGTGCGATTTGTAGAACGTACCGGCTTGTTTGTTTCTTGATAAACGAATTTTAGTCGATACTGATATGATCGGCTATTTAAGTTCACCACGTGTGGTTGTGCATTTTATTCGATCTATACGGGTTCGACGCTACCGTACGTTCATCTCTGCTTTCGAAGACGTTTCCAGATGCAGGCCACTGTCAACCCGTGCAGGATCAAGCACTTCGTCCTGAAACAGCCAAGTCACGAAGTCTTTGTTTGTTGTGAACGTGCGCTGTGGCCGAAATGCCCTTGTTTCCGTGCCCTTGCTCTCGCCTGAATCGATCCCTGGGCGGAGCTGTGCGCAGTGTTTTTCTCTGCCCGCCGTGCCTCGTTCGGCGGCGCCGTCAGTTACGCATTTGTCGTCGTCCCGAACTGCCGCGGAATGTTCTAGTGGACGTTTCTGGGCACCTGTTCGTGTCCACCCGCTCATGGCCTTCATCTGGAACCGTCTCTCTCACTAACGCTTTCAAAGCGTCCTTGTCATAATCGGCATGTTTTGCTCAGAATACCGGCGTTACGACTGTGTTTGCTGTACATCTGGAGCATCTGTATCCTGGTGTATTTTCAAGCGTAATCGTCTTAATTGTCCATAAAAGTTTGATTGATCAAGATTTTTATACATTTACAAACATCATCCACAGTTCATGGGTCAAATTCTGGTGCGCTTCTCTTTCACATTCCAATCGTTTAGCTAACTGTTCGTGACGTCGATATTCTTGGCAAATGCATTTCTCCCGTAAAAATCCCTAATATTTTCAGCCCAAGTGTCTTTTGTTTGACGACGAATCAGAGTTATTAAACGACGACATGGGAAAAGCCAAGGTTGGAATCAATGGATTTGGCCGAATTGGTCGCTTGGTGCTTCGTGCTGCCGTCGAAAAGGACACCGTCGAAGTGGTCTCTGTAAATGATCCGTTCATCAACATTGACTACATGGTGAGTTGATTTTTCGGGCAGTTCACCTGAAAATCCAGTGAAAATTGTTAAGGGGTAGCGCTATGGTAGTCGAGGGGGGATCTCTGCTTTGAACTCTGGTCGTCTGTTATCTTACGGGGTTGATTCTCGGTAACGATCACTCTGTTGGGCCGCCGGCTCCACTACAGTTCTGCCACGAGGATTTTGGGATAGATACGTTCGCGACAGCTTCACTGGAGCCTAAAAAGGATGGTAAGAGTAGGCGGTATGAGATGGAAGCGAGCTCTACAGCCAGCCTCTAGATCGAAAAGTCTACAAATGGTTATTGGAGTGGCGAGCAGCTCAAATCAGTAAAAAAGGAGAGCCTTATCAGCG